GATCAGTGACTGGCAAAATAATTTGACCTACTGTATCATTTTAAGGCTGTGAAAGGCATACATGTATTATTTGTAATCTCGTGTAAGACCTGTCATGTCTCATTCAGTGCGAGCCTTAAAGTGATTGTAAAGCATCCTTTTGTTCCATTTTGGGGATTTTTGGGTTTTGATTTTTTGTTTTTGTTCTGTTTTGTTTTTAAGGAAAACAAAACATGAAAAGTCGGGATATAAAAAAAAAAACAAACACAAAAACAAACAAAAAAAAAGGCAAACAAACAACAACAAAACAACCAACAAACTTCTTCAAACGGTAATAACCTGTAAACTGACTCACGTCTCGAGATGATTTGGTGCTTTGTATTTTTCGTTGATGTTGTTGTTGTGATTTAGCTGAGAATTCTTCGACTCGGTACATGTGGGGAACTGCTGACAAAAAAAAACTGTCTCGTGTCACCCTCTACTGTAAGTACATGGCGAGAAACAACGAGCAGAGGAGATCCAAGAGCGTAGCGAGAGCATCGTGGTTTAGCTTTAGCCTTCTCACCGCAAGGAGATGCTGCCACCTCCGATGATGGCAAAGCCCAGACGGTCACCTGCCGAGGGCTGAGTGGTTGTCTTTGACATTTCCAAGTAACCCGCTCGGTGTCTGAATATTCCCATCTCTCCAATTCTGTTTCTGTGCTGGAATCTCTTTGTTTTCGAGTTCGGTCACGGGTTTTGCGTCTGTCCAACAACACCCTTCTTTTTTTTTTTTTTTTCCCGTTTACGAGAGTATTGCTCCTTTAAAAGGAATAATCCCGTTTCAGGGCATCTTTTCAATCCCACCATCCCTCTACTTGGGAGGGGAAAAAAACAACAACAACAACAAAATGAGGTATTTTTAAGTGAATGCTGTAGTATTTTCTGTGTGTAATTGCAATTTTTTATTCCAGAAATACTGTAACTGTCTAGGGTGCAAAACTCCCATGCTGACCTATTCTAAAGAGGAGATCAGCATGGGGGGATATTTTTTAATTATGATTATGATTATTTTTTTTTAATTTGAGGAATCAGTTGGGTTTTTTAATTATAATAGTATTTAAAGAAACTAGTACCAATTTTATATAACAGTTTAAAGAAGCTGAATGCTTTCTTCGCCTGAATATACCTGAAGAGAAACATTTTTTTCAATCAGTGATCCTTTGCAGAGTTCTGAGAAAATGTTGGGGTTTCTTCAGTTATTTCATTTTGTTTTGTAAAGGAAACTTTTAACTGGTGTCTGTCCCTTTCCAGGAGGGCAGGACTCACTCACGCCAAATTATAGACACACGGCAAAGTTTATACGAAGCCAAATTGTCACTGGTACTGTAATTCCCAGTCAAACTCCATTTCAGGCAAATGTTTCTGGGCTCTGATTACAACTAATGTGATGGCCACATTTTCCTGCAAAAGGAGGGGTTTGGTCCTATCATTCCCTATCTAACTTCCCAGTCCCTTGTTTAATGTGCACATAAATACATACATATATATATATACATATATATATATATACATGAACTTATATATAATTGTGAAAAGCTTTCATTTCCCTTCTCCACTGTCTGTGTCACAAAAACAGTCCCTTCTCAAGTGTCCTACTAACATTTCACCCTGTTTCTTCCCTGATCAGTCTCCATAAAAAGAGGTAATTTGTGAAGTGAACTTGCTGTCCCCACCTACTGAGTCATAAAAACGTAGAGGCCCCCGTCCTCCAGCGACAGGCCTGCCTTTCTCCTCCCAGGACTTTCTTTTGACCTACCTTTAATGCTAGTGTAGACTTGAACCTGATCCAATTCCCCGTGTAAAGAGTCTCCTTGGTCCTTCCATGAAGAGCTCTGCTCTGCAATCTGCATTTCATTAGCATAAGCGTGAGAAAGGAATGGGTGGCAAACAACCCTGCTGTTCCTTGGGGGCCTCTCTTCCAGGAGATAGCATCCTTATTTTGAAAAGCACCGTGAGAAGGTCCCTCTCCACAGACTTGTCCCCCTTGAGGTCTGGAGATGCGATCCCAGTCGCTGGCCCCGCTGAACCGCCGGACGCTGCCGCTTCACACCAGGACAGAGAGAGGAGCCAACGAGCCAAGGCACAGTCACCAGGTGTCGCGGAGGAGACCCTTCAGTGTTGCCTCTCATGAGCAACTTCAGCCTGCCTTCCCTCAGGAACAGGATCTTACTCCACACCACCACACCAACAGCCGTCCTCTCCCTCCCGTGACGGGAGCGGAGGGGCAAAACACTCTGGAAGTGTCCTTACTTCTCAATGCAGTGCTAATTTCTCACAACCAAACCAGCTTAACTAAGGGCTTGACACATCCCTGTTCCAAAGTCCTCCTCCTTCGTGGCTCGTAGTATGGATAACAACGAAGGCCGGGGCCTCCACTGCGTATTAAGACTGTTTCATTACTCTTGGTTGCATAAACTTTCTGCCTCTGTTTCTAGTCCTTTCTTTGAATGACATCCACTGGCATCTTCATTGAGCAAAGGATTTCCAGTGAGAGCCTGTGTCAACCCTGAAGAACTATTTCTTTTTTCAAGGACTTCCATTACAGCCTTAACGTAAAACACGTGCTCTGCCACTACACCCAATGAGTTCATGTTGGACAGCTTGGGGTGGTGACCTATTTCCTCTTGGGATTTCCTGTGATCGTGTTGCCAAACAGCGCCTTTTGCCAAGCCAAAAGCTCGGGGAGGAAAACTACCCCCAGCTCTTTATTGGTACTAATCCCAGTGCTGAGTCCAGTCCTCTCCTCTTGTTTTGTTTATTTTTTGCCCTCTGACTTTTCCTGTGCACTTTTTCAGGGTGGTCAGTGACTCGTTTTGGTTTCACCTTGGTTTTAAGTGCTTGCCCCTGGTAGCTCAGTTATACCATGTCCTACCTTCTTGCCAGAAGATACCGAGCGAGGAGTTTTTCAGACTGCCACGGAGAAGGTTGAGCCTGTGTTTACTCACATCACAAGATCAGCGGGCACCTTCTCTGGCACCTTTGTGCTGCTGGATTCACCCTGGAATCATCTAAGCCAGCCAGCTGTGCCATGCCAGGGCATGAGGGCTCCACCATCCCGACTGTTATACTATTCAAACCTTCCCTGGCATGGTTTTGACCCACTCCAACGAGCCCTGGACTCGGGCACAGCTTTCCCAGGCATAGCCAGAGACCATCCCCCTCCAGCAGTGTGGATGCAGCTGCTCTGCATCAGGGGTGGAAGATTTTAGCAGTGTGATTGTGGCCAGCACTTCTCAGTTGGCCTCGTGGCCAGAATGGATCCTGGAAGTGCTTAGTTTGCTAATAAATATGTAACTCTGTGCCCGCAGACCAGGATTTGGGAAGTGGAGGAGAACGTCAGCTCCGATCTGGCATTTTTCTGTTTTCTGCCCAATCCGATGGACAAGTTGTTTTTCAGTTCACTCTGTTCTTTTTGCTGAGGTTGTTTTGCAAACAGCGCCGCTTTTATCACTCCGATGTCAACCCATCCATCCCTCCAACCATGTCAGATGGGTGGCATGTTTACTGTGATAGTGTTATACAACCATAGGCAGCTAATTCGGAGACAGGAATGATTCAGACCAGACCAAATCAACAATGGAAATACAGGAATTACAAGGTCCCTGCCCATGCCCTTGTCATGCTTTGCCACCCACACAAAGGCATTTTTTATCTGCAGCTTTTCCAACCTGAATCGCAGAAGAAGAGCCAATGTTGAATAATTACCAGTGGAAACTGCAAGTGAGCCACCAATTTCGAGTGTAAATATATATATTTTCAGTGTTTGGGATTGCAGCTAATTCTCTGCTTCACCCCATCCTTCTCTGCACCTGCCAAAAGTCAGAACTCATTTGCATGCATTTTTATTTAAAGCTGACTGGATAAAACACGACAAAATTAATTCCAAGCTTCAGTCAATGGTCCGCTAAAGCCTGGCTCACGAGGGGAGCACTGCTATTGACTTTCAGAGCACAATGTCCCTGTGCTCTTCAGCTATATTTCTGCACACACAAGATTCACTTCACAATTTATCCTTTCCCCCGCCCCCCGCCATCCCCCTGCACAGAAATGCATGTTCCACCTGTCACCCGCACACCTGACTAAACCTCTCGAAGAAAATGTGGTCTGAGGTCCATCCAGTGTGATTCCATTGAAGCTCAGAGGTGCTTTGAAAAGGAAAACTTACTACTGTGCATTTGCAAAACCTTTTAGTGCCTGCTTGCTGGGCAGCTTGGGCAGGAGACAATTTGGAAGCTGCCGGAGTCAGCGGAAAATTGTGGAGAAAGGCTTTTCCTAGGGATATGTTCTTCTTTTACTGGGTTTGATTTTCTCTGGGTCCTGTTCAGATCGAACAGGCAAGAGAAAACCCACCAGAAAACAAAACCCCCAAATAACCACGACAAAACAAGGTCTCTGCCAATCCCCACAGAGGCTGAGGTGGAGGGTGGTAGGGATGATGTGAACTCCGTTGTGTACCCTTTGCTTGCTGAAGTTTGCATGCTGTTATTTTTGGCAGTTGTCTCAAGCCCTGGGGCCTTGGGCTTGGTCGTTTTCCCAGGGTTCTGATTTGCTGGTTTTCATTTTTCCTTGGAGCTCAGGTGTATTCTGGTGCAGAGAATCTCAGCCTGGTTTGAATGAGAAGATTTGAGGCTATCCCAAATAGACGTGGGCAAACCTTTCACTGTGTGCAGAACGCATTTCCAGACCTTTGGGTACCTGCTAGAGATTGTTGCAATCCGCTTATTATTCCATGAGC